GTCAGTTAGAGGACGCGGTTAAGTTTAGGTGTGGGGTGGGGGTAGGGTACACGCGATCCTAGGGCGTCATCTAACTGACGCTAAAGGGCGCCTAAAGCGTCAGATATTGAAGCATGTCCAAATGCTTCCCAAGGCGTCAGTTAAGTGACGCCTTGGGGGTGAGAATGGGCTGCGAAATGCTAAATTTTTTTTTTTTTTACAGATTTTATTTTTTTGACGTTGCGGATCATGTTACATTTTGATGTTAAATCTATTATTGGTTTATATAGACTTGTTTACAGTCTACAGTAGCCTACACAAGAAGTAACTGTAGGGCTACTGTAATTCAATTAAAAAAATCCCTTATTTTTTTTAAGGGACATTTAATTACAGTAATCATTTAGGCCTACAAGCAGTGTTGGGTGTATAACTATGATTTGATGCTATATAGCCTATAGTTGGTTCTTAGTTAGTTCGATAAAATGCAATTGTTTTAATTTCATTTTTAAATATACAATTTAAGAATTAAAGCCAGTAAACAAATTATGTAAGAAAAACCCTAAAGTCACACATCCTATAGTCCTATTTTAGTCTATAGAAAAAAAATAATTGTAATTTTTGTCCTATTTTGGTCTATAGAAAAAAATGCATCGCAGCCCTCTGAATCGTAGTTGAATTTAATTGTGAGGTGATCCCCCCCCCATATATATATATATATATATATATATATATATACACGTAACAATAACATTACTAACAGTACTAATACACAGATTATATTATCTGAAATTGTTATTTAGTAATGTTATTGTTAAAATGACTCATTTCTATTTGAAATGAGAGCTGCCATCTCTTATTTACCCAGCTCTTCAAACACCCCTTTCTCTCTTTGTTACCATTTTGAATTACAGAATATGATGCAAAACAGACAACGACAGATCCAAACAATGCAGAGGGGAAAATTGTATCCTTGAAAAAGAGCAACTCTGTCTGAGAGTGTTTAAGTGTGACCCCACAAAACGAGCAGTTAATTTCCCTGCATATGCGTTACAGAGGATTTAAGCATTGGAATGTGTCATGAGTAACTTTATAGTCCGCCTGTATATGTTACTCACTGAATTTGCACAGGAACACACTTGATTCAGCCCATATGGAGCTGTGGGCATTTCTGAGGACACAAATACTGTGCTTGTTTTACTACTTCTCAATGCTCAGACACAATATACTAATACCTAATGCCACCCAACAGCGGAAATGAGCAAAAATGTGCAGAAAGTGCAGTATAAGCAGAGTGGATGGAGAAATGCCTTAATTTGAAGATTCTTTGGAATCAGAAAGCAGCTTTTCACTATGAAAAATATAATCAAACATGGCAAGGGGATGGTTTATGATTATTAACCGTGGGAATGGGTCTATCAAAACACACATGGGTATGGGTTTTGTTTCTTATACTGGTCTATAATAGATTGCGTACTGTGATATAACTTCCGAATATTCCTTTCTATCCTTTATTTAAACTTTTCCTCCTGTTGTGGGATGAAGGGATTTAAGTGTAGACTTATTCACAGAGGTTCTGTTTCACTGATCAACACCATGATCATGTTTTCAAAGTATCATGCTTAACCCCCAATAATAGACGTTTAGGTGGCCCTCTGGATCCCACAATTCCTCAAAAGAAAACAAGAAGAAAAAAAAAAGAAACGGAGAGGAGTAGAAAAGCTGGTTGAAATTCAAGCTGAAAGCTGCTGACAAAACTATTGCCAACATCTGTCCCGAAGGAAGTTGCATTTCACTGTACTCTCAGTTTAAATTGAGCCTCAATAAACCAAGACAATGTTATTACGCTAATTCAATTGGATTGTCCATGTTTAATGGATGTTTTGATGTTTTGTTCTTGGCTTCAAATGATCTTTTCTAGTGGAAAACTCAAAACAGAGCACTCTCTGGTGTTTTCGTCGGCTTGAGTGAAAAATATGATGTGTTTCTTAACAGTCGAAGCAGTAAAAATACAGTGAAATGGGGTGTTTGTGACCAGCAAGTTTCTCACTCATGACTAATGTCTTGTTGGTTTGTCAAGATTGTCAAAACCAACAAAATGTCACATTTTAAATTCATTTGCTGAGCCAGTCTACTCGCCACTGCACAAGAAGCATTTATGTGATAAAAATAAATAAAAATGTGCATTGACTTCATCAGGGAAGCGAGGGGGAACAAGTTAATCCTCGTATCCCATTTAAGAGTTTGAGAAGAACAGACCGTGTTTTCATGACCCGGGTCTCTCTTTAGCCCTTTCCATGATTAGGTTAGTGTCGGCGAAACGGGATCCCCATTTGTGGAAGAGTTGAATATTTAGTCAGAAAACAGTTAGCTCAACTGTGTGTGTAGACAGTTATAGAGCACCAGTTATCTCTGTTCCGTCTGTGTTCATGTTTAGTAAAGTAACAGATTGATTATTATAGTAAACCGAGAACAGAAGCATAAACCACATTCTTAAATAAGCTGAGGTCAAGAGATCTGCGATAAATAGTATCGAAGTACTGTATATATAATAGGCTTTAACACAATATTATACAAAATTATATAATACAACTATATTATTATTAATTACTATTTTGGGGAATCCTGTTTCACCGGTATTAACCAATCCATAATAAGTTTAGTAAAGAAACAAAACCACACCATATTGATTATTATAGTAAATTGAGAACAGAAACACATTCTAAAATAAGCTGATGTCAGAGATCGGCAATAACTAGAAATAATATAATATTAATACAATACTAACATTATAACTTAAAAAAACCTCTTACACTAATGGAAAATCCCAATCACTAGTACTAATTAACATTGTATAAAAATGTAATATAAAAAGATGTATTATATTATTATACTCCACTTAATTTAAAATATAACAACATAGAACCATAACAACATAAGGGCAAAAATGATTTAACAATGGCACTTAGAGGCTTTTTCATCTGAACTCTTCATATATATATATATATATATATATATATATATATACATACACACATATATTTATTAATATATATATATATTGCACATATATTTATATATATATATATATATATATATATACTTTATTTACACATTATATATAAATATATATATATATATATATATATATATATATATATATGAAGAGTTCAGATGCAAAAGCCTCTAAGTGCCATTTGAAATTTTCTTCTAGAATGATCATTTTTATCAAGCTTGTATATTTAAGTTCAGTGATTTCACTTAAATGGCAATGATAATTACCTATTAATTGTTATTTAAGTGAAATTACTGAACTTAAATATACAAGTTTGATAAAAATCATCATTAAAGAACAAAATTTCAAATGGCATTTAGAGGCTTTTGCATCTGAACTCTTCATATATACACACATATATTTATTAATATATATATATATATATATATATATATATTGCACATATATTTATTAATATATATATATATATATATATACATATATATATACACTTTATTTACACATTATATATATATATATATACACACACTCACCTAAAGGAATATTAGGAACACCTGTTCAATTTCTCATTAATGCAATTATGTAATCAACCAATCACTTGGCAGTTGCTTCAATGCATTTAGGAGTGTGGTCCTGGTCAAGACAATCTCCTTGAACTCCAAACTGAATGTCAGAATGGGAAAGAAAGGTGATTTAAGCAATTTTGAGCATGGCATGGTTGTTGGTGCCAGAAGTAACAATCTGCTCAGTTACTGGGATTTTCACACACAACCATTTCTAAGGTTTACAAAGAATGGTGTGAAAAGGGAAAAACATCCAGTATGCGGCAGTCCTGTGGGACAAAATGCCTTGTTGATGCTAGAAGTCAAAGGAGAATGGGCCGACTGATTCAAGCTGATAGAAGACAACTTTGACTAAAATAAACACTCGTTACAACCGAGGTATGCAGCAAAGCATTTGTGAAGCCACAACACACACAAACTTGAGGCAGATGGGCTACAACAGCAGAATACCCCACTGAGTACCACTCAAAACCACTACAATTTGCAAGAGCTCACCAAAATTGGACAGTTGAAGACTGGAAAAATGTTGCCTGGTTTGATGAGTCTCGATTTCTGTTGAGACATTCAGATGGCAGAGTCAGAATTTGGCATAAACAGAATGAGAACATGGATCCATCATGCCTTGTTACCGCTGTGCAGGCTGGTGGTGGTGGTGTAATGATGGATGTTTTCTTGGCACACTTTAGGCCCCTTAGTGCCAATTGGGCATCGTTTAAATGCCATGGCCTACCTGAGCATTGTTTCTGACCATGTCCATCCCTTTATGGCCACCATGTACTCATCCTCTGATGGCTACTTCCAGCAGGATAATGCACCATGTTACAAAACTCAAATCATTTCAAACTGTTTTTCTTGAACATGACATTGGGTTCACTGTACTAAAATGACCCCCACATTTCCCAGATCTCAACCCAATAGAGCATCTTTGGGATGTGGTGGAATGGGAGCTTCGTGCCCTGGATGTGCATCCCACAAATCTCCATCAACTGCAAGATGCTATCCTATCACTATGGGCCAACATTCTTAAAGAATGCTTTCAGCACCTTGTTGAATAGATGCCACGTAGAATTAAGGCAGTTCTGAAGGCGAAAGGGGGTCAAACACAGTATTAGTATGGTGTTCCTTCTAATCCTTTAGGTGAGTGTATATATATATATACAGTATATACAGTATATATATATATATATATACATATATATACAAACACATATATATTGTGCAAACAAAAACTTTTATGTTAGGTGCGATTAACCGATTTGACAGCACTAATACACAGTATATATATATATATATATATATATATATATATACACACAACACATGTGAGATGTTTATATTAAGTATACAAATATACTTAAAAATACTACATTGTTCCTTCACAACATGTTTTTGTATTATTATTTTGCGTGTCAGTGAATTGCTGTCACAGACGACAACTGACTTACATGGAGTGAAGTCCACCAGTGCCGAAGGGCTGTAGCAGGTACTGGTGAACAGTTTTATTTCGTAAAGTCCCGGCCAGCTTGATTTTCTTCCGTGATCGATGCAGGTTGATGATGTAGATTGTTATGGACCCTCTGACATAATCGTGACTGCAGGAAAAGAAAATAATGCATTAAAAATGTATGATACAGCAACTCAACTTAGATCAAAAGAACAATGAACTTATATCATTTCATCAAATATATTTAAAAAAGTTAATATTGATAAAACAAACACTTTAAGCTACTGTATGCTTACATTTGACTTGCACCGATGTACACTCGCATATTCACTACAATTCAAAAGTTAGGATTTTTTTATTTAAAATAAATTAATACTTTTATTTTATTTAACACATTAAAATGACCAAAAAGTGGCATTTACAAAATATTTATATTGGAATTAAATGCAATTAAACTATTCAATCGAAGAATCCTGCTGAAATGTTATTACAAACAAATATTAGGCAGCACAAACAAAATTATATTTTACAGACTACATTCACTAGAAACACACACACACACGGGCACAGATAATGCAACTAAAATGTATAACAACATCTGAAATTCAACATACGAAGAGTTCAGATGCAAAAGCCTCTAAATGCCATTTGAAATTTTCTTGAATGATCATTTTTATCAAGCTTGTATATTTATGTTCAGTGATTTCACTTAAATGGCAATGATAATTACTTATTAATTGTTATTTAAGTGAAATTACTGAACTTAAATATACCAGTTTGATAAAAATCATCATTAAAGAAGAAAATTTCAAATGGCATTTAGAGGCTTTTGCATCTGAACTCTTCATACATTGTTTGTCCATTATAATCTGGTTGATACTGACAGAAACATTGAACTTGTTCCCAGAATTCCATTTACAAGAGACCGTTTACAATTTTATACGAATCCAAAATCTCCTGTGATTTAATTTCAGTACACAACAACCAAATAATAAAGCACTGTATAGAAGCAAAGGAGGCTCCAGGACTACGTCATGTAAAAGAGCTGATTGTTTTCACATAACAACTGTAAAAGCATCAGCTCCCCTCCCAAATTCACAGGGGTAACACAAGCTTTATATGTGTTGGACGGTCATGCTTATGTTACAGAGATCCCTGCATACTTATCCCTGTTTGCGAGGTAAGAGCAGGCTTAAGGGAATATTAACTGAAGATAAGTATCTGGCAACATGATTAGGCAAACATGATAAAATTCAATAAAGATTCGAACGTAAAGGCAAGGAAAACATAGCTGTAGTGCATGAATACCACATGTTGTAAAGGGCCGGTCACAGCTTGGCTTTAAGCCTGTTAGTAATCTCACCAATCACGAGCAACCGGGGCCATGTGCATCTTTACACCTTAGCGCACGGTGAATAGAGTTCAAGGCAAAGAGTCAAACCCGAGACAGTGTAATGAAAACATCTCCCATGTCATGTGATACATATGTGGTGTCTCAGTTTTAATAGACTTTGGTAACTTGGGTCGATATTTTCCAGAAGGGCGCATTAGATCAGACGAACAGATCGAAAAATGATAAACATTGTCCAAGACTTTGAAACAATGCGCCTCTCCAGCATTCGAAGGGGGAACGTAAACATGGAATCCTTTGTTTGATGTTAGCGACTGGTCCTGGGGATATGTGGACCGGAGAAACCACTCAAAGCACCCAAAAGCAGGCCTGTTTTGTATAAGGGTGTTGTGACGGATTAGTGAAGATACTGAAAGCATATCCATGACTTGTCTGACCGGCCATTTTAACCACTAATAGAACGAAAAACTTGAAAGAGGTTGGAGGAATGAGACCCGAATGTCCGACTTGGGAATGTTTTTTTGCTTGTGCACTAACACATTGGAAATTCTCGGAATAATGGAGTTGACGTTTAATAGTGTCAAAAACATTTTCATTTAATTAAACCACCCGTCTATCACCGATAAAAAGCCAAAAGACATCACCGTGCCACTGGACGGGGAAAGCAAAAGCAATGCATTTAGAGAATAGGTTTAAGACCAGCTGCTTTGTGTTTCATGGCATTTACAGAGATTACTTGTTCGATTTTGTGGTGGTTTCGGTTTGATGGATAAGACACGATGTGATGACATTTTGAATGTAGCCCAAAACTCTGTCATCTCCAGGCCAACGAGGGTCAGAAATTGGCTTTGGAACCAGATAACATCAGTCTACTTTTCAAATATGTCCTGGTTGCAGACTTGAAAGCCTGAAACCCAACTAAACATTAAGAGAAGAACATCCAAGTGCAATTTCAGACATGCATATTTGAGGTCGGAGCTTTAATCTAATTATGCAATTACAAATCAATGATAAACTGCCATGTTGGGGAATTACTACAGCCAACTAACTTACTGCCAAGCAAAACGATGCAATGATCATAACATCTCTATCAATTTAGTGCTCATTTTAGTGATTCAATTAATCGTTTTAGTGATCATTTAATCATTCAAGCTTCTAGTGTTGTTAGCAAAAATATTTAGCTAAATGATTCTGGACTAAATGTTTTTGACTTTGAATTATGACATTGCAGTTGTGTTTAGCATACATTTATCTGTTCAGTTTAATGTTGTCACATAAATTGAGGTCCTCAGTTATTGTGCCAGATATATACTGCTCTTATTCTAATCTGTATATCTACCTCATATATATATATATATATATATATATATATATATATATATATATATATATATACACACACACACATATTATATAAACACAAACTTTTATTAGATTCGATTAATTTGACAGCACTAATATAAACATATATTACGTTGTGTATATACACACACTATAAAACTGAATATGCTTTATCTAATCAATAAAACATAAACAATATTATTAACCTGTTAACTGTCACCCCCCCTTTTTTGAATAGACATGAAAATGCACATTTTGAACTTAAATGGTTGTAATTCAAGAATGCTTGGGAATATAGACATATGATTGGTCTTGTTTTAAAGAAGACATTTGGCAGATTTTTGTAGAAGTGAAATAAATTAAGAAAGTGAAACAGAAAAAAAGTTATAGAGGTTTGAGTTTATGGAAATGTACAATGCAAAAATATTAATTATTCATATTTTACATAAAATATATATTTTCAAAACCTGGGCTACTCTAAAATGGCAGAAAAATCAAAGCCAAAAATCTGAACAAGTTGTGTTTCAAATTTTAGGTTGATATCTCAAAAAATGAGCTTTCAGTAAGATTTTGTTTGAGCGCAGTACCAAACTTTTTCACTAGGGCACAATCAGACTCCATTACTGCCCATATAAGGGCGCCTGCATTTCCATTCGTGTTTTGAGTGATATGAACCATTATTTTCACAATTTTCATACAATTTCTGAAGTAGAGATCCTATTCAGGAGTAGTATGGGAAGTTTGGCAGATTTTGATATGAATTGAACCTCTAAGAAACACATACAAAGAACACGCATGTAAGTCATAGCTAGCTGCCACGTCACAAATGGTGAGTTTATTATTTTTTCCTTGATATTTCAAACTTTTCAGACCTTTTTTTTTCCAAAATAATTGAATGGATTCTATCTTTTGAACTTTTGGCATGAAAACAAACTGAGGTATCTACCATTTTTTCATGATTTTTCATGTTTACTGCTATTTTAAAATAGAGGTCTGAACACGCCTTATGAGTATGAAAATATTCTTGTTTTATATTGATAAATTATGGCTCCTCTGTAATATATTTTGAAAATCAGTCACCAAATATGGAAACTAGAGATTGTAAGCTTTCAAATGATATATAGTTTGTCAATATTATTTAAGGTATTTACTAAGATATTATTGTTTTAAAAATATAGTGGCAAACGTCCCACCTGTGGGACGGTGACAGTTAAGTGGTTAATTAAATTGAACAAATTAGAATTGAGTAATACTTAATCAAAATATTCCTTAAAAGTTAACCATTAAAAATGAGTAATGTTTACAACAAAAAATTAAACAAAAATATCTCAATAACAGACAGACGTCAAAGATTAATTAAGAACTCTTTATTTTAAATTGCCAACATTGAAGACACCTAATGTGAACAAGCAGAATCACTGAAGGAGAAAACCGTCATTTTAAAACAAACCTAAAACAAACACTGATCACCATAATGGTGACTTAAATGTATGTTGTTGTTTTTTTTGGTTTGTTTTACTCATTTTAAGGAATTCATTTGACTAATTATTACTCAATTCTATTGTTAAATTGAATTAATAATATTGCTTGTAATCTGTTGCCACAATTTTTTTTATTAGATAAAGCTCATTCATTTTTACAGTGCACTTTTTTTTAAAGAGATGAATAATTCATTTAATAATCACATTAATTAATTTACAGTAAAGACATTTTTAAGTTGCAAAAGATTTTTTTTTTTTTTTTTTAAATCCTATTCTTTTGACCTTTCTATGAAAGTAAAATAATGCCAAATGTTTTTGAAACAAAAAGCCTGTTGAATTGCACAACTTAGAAAAAAAATGCATTGCATTAACCTTGCTTGTATTTTAATGCATTGTACCTTAATGCATGCAAATACCTTTCTGTTCACCAAAGAGTCCTGGAAAAAAAGTATTATGGTTTCTAAAAAAATATTAACTAGCACAATTTTTTTCGACAATGATAATAAGAAAAGTTTATTGTGCACCAAATCAACTGCATTTTAAGATATATTGAAATATTACTATTGTGAAATATCATCGCAATTTAACTTCTCTGTTTTTATTGCATTTTTGATCTAATAAATGCAGTTTTGGTGACCATTACACTTATCTCAAAACATTAAGAAATCTCACCGACCCCATCAATTTGGACGGTGGGTTATTTAAAAAGATGTGTTACCATTAAAAAGCTCCCATGTTTTTGTTGACTGTATTTCAAATTATGAGTAACAAATTTCAAAGTAGCTTCCCCAAAACTGTTTTGTGTGCAAAAGCGTCTGTCCTGGAGGAATCCTGAAGCCAGGGGCCTGTACTAGCACTGTAACTGAGCTGAGACACGGTGATCTGTAGAGAGTAAACCTACACTGCTGGTGAAAAGCTGGCAGGTCCCGCTCACATCATTCTGGGGTAATAGATAATCATCAAAGGGAACGATGGCACTTTTTATCTGGCCCGGGTACAGACCTTCCTATTGTCCCGTGCTTCTCCTCCCCTCACCTGCCTGAGCCTCTGGTGTCTTTCAGCGCCTCTCGCACTGTAGAAAGAGACTCAGCACACTTGACAATTGATACTTGTTAAATTTTATGGGCTCTCACTCTGAAAGAGTGGCTGTCTGGACTCAGTAATTTATGTGTTTGAGAACGAGCAGGTATAAGCCTTAAAATCCTCACTATGGCCGTGTACTCGCATGACGGGAGTCTCGGATAATGCTACAGGTCCATTTACGCACATTGTTACAGTATGTATTCGACTTTAGTTTTATATGCTATACAGTTCTGTTCTAAAATCCATCTAGCCACCTAACTAGACTGAGGCGTCATAAGCATGTTCCCGACACCAAGTCAATATTAACATTACACCGATTTATAAAACGTTGCTTCTGGAGTCCAATTTTACATTGGGGAGTCGAGTGGCATCCCACCACAGTGCCAATACTGTTGATTGTATAAAATTGAATTACAGTGGTTTCATGCTCTCTGCATCCATTATTACACCACATAAAACACTGTTTTATGGCACCGTTTATCTCTAATTGAATAGAATCTGTATTAAATGTGGTCTGGGTCATATTTTCGTAGTTTTGTTGGTTCTCAAGGACACACGTACCATTCAAATGTTGAGTCAGTAAGACCAAAATAACAAGCAGCGCAACCATCAAATCAGCATATTAGAATGATTTCTGAAGGATCATGTGACACTGAAGACATATATAAATATATATAATATATAGACTATATACGTATATAAATATATATATATATATTAGGGCTGTGCAAAAATTAATTGCGATTAATCGCATCCAAAATAAAAGTCTGTGTTTACATCATATATTTTTGTGTGCTGTACATAATTATTTTGTATATATAAATACCTATGCATGCATGTATATATTTAAGAATTATTTGCTCTTAAATTCTGTATATATATATAAATGCATAATCTATATTAAATAAATATAAATATTTTCTATATGAATAACACATTTTCTTAAATATATACATGCATGTGTGTGTATTTATATATACAAAATAATTATATACAGCACACACAAATATATTATGTACACACAGACTATTATTTTGGATGCGATTAATCGCAATTAATTTTTGCACAGCCCTAATATATATATATATATATATATGACCTGCATATAAATATATATATATATATATATATATATATATATATATATATATATATATTTATATGTTTATATATATATATATATATATATATATATATATATATATATATGCAGTGCATCCAATGAAAACTGTTTTTTTTTTTTTTTATCAAATAAATGAACCCCTGGTGAGCATGAGACTTATTCTTTCAAAAACATAAAAAATCGGAACTTTTTAATGTCATCGCATAAATATGAAATCTTTTTTTAAGGATATCAAGGCGGATTACAAAAAAACGTTGCTGCCTTACATTTTTAAGTACAATCATTTTGGATGATTAAGTCATTTCAACTTAAAGGAGTAATTCACTTTTGAAAAAAAACTTTTGCTGATAATTTACTCAACCCCATGTCATCCAAGATGTCCATGTCTTTCTTTCTTCAGTCGAAAAGAAATTAAGGTTTTTGATGAAAACATTCCAGCATTTTCCTTCATATAATGGACTTCAATGGGAACCAAACGGTTCAAGGTCCAAAGTGCAAACTGCAAACTGTTCAAAGGGCTTTAAACGATTCCAGTCGATGAATAAGGGTCTTATCAAGCGAAACGATCGCTCATTTAATAAATAAATAACAAAGTTTAAGTTTTATACGCTCAAATGCTCGCCTTGCTCTGTTCTGTGACGCACGTTTGTGACTCTCCTGTTTGAACTCGTTCATCAAAACGACCGAATCTTTTTCTGAGTCATTTTGTTCATTCAACGAATGAATTTGTTAATTATTGAACGAATTTGTTATTTATTTATTAAATGAGCGATCGTTTCGCTTGATAAAACCCTTATTCATCGTCTGGAATCGTTTTAAGCCCTTTAAACAGTTTGCACTGAAAGTGTCTTTTGGACCTTGAACCGTTTGGTTCCCATGGAAGTCCATTATATGGAGAAAAATCCTGGAATGTTTTCATCAAAAACCTTAATTTCTTTCGACTGAAGAAAGAATGACATGGACATCTTGGATGACATGGGGGTGAGTAAATTATCAGAAAAAGTTTTTTTTTTTTTTAAAAGTGAACTACTCTTTTAAATTACATTAACTTAAAAAGTTGAATTGAACCTACTTGTGAAAGCTGGTGCAGTGAGCATAGATGCGGAGTTTGTCTCGGATCACCCGTCCAGGTCGGGGTTTCCTCTGGAGTCCTGCGACGTGCACCCCGAGCACCCTGGGGCCCACCAGATGTTTAAAGAGCAGAGATAACCAGTAATCCTAAAATACCAACACACAAAACACATGTTACAAGATAAATTTTTTTTTTTTTTACTGGAACTTGGCCATGTCAACACGCATGTTAGGTCAAGCCGTTCTGCCATAGAGTCGTGTTAGCGTGGTGCACCTTGGCACAAGAAAACGATTCATGCAAGATGATTCTGGTTCAAATACACTGGACAGATGAGGCATTACTTCGCCAGCAGACATGAATTCATTCCAATGAATTCCAGCATCCTTCCATCTTTCAAGAGCTTTCATTTTAGAATTGTTATAGAGAAAGCTGTAGAAAACTGAATTTGAAAAGTGAAAAAAAGATTGAATTTTAGGCGTAACGCAAGTTTCTCATATCTGCCTTCACTTTAGCTAGAACGACTCTTCTCTTTTTTTTCAAAGATTAAAAAAACACACACATGTGCTTCAGTCTTTTATTGAGTGAGACATTTTCTTGGATGATCGAATGGAGAAATAGAAGCATCGTTTTTCTTTGCAAGCCTTTCCTGTTAAAACTGAAAAACATTCTAGATCATATAGAATAAAATGGCATATAGAACTGAGAGATACACACTAAATATTTTTTTAGTCACCTGGGGGAACCTAGCTGCTTTATATAATGCATAAATTGTCAACTAAAATCAGAGAACCAAACACTAAAATATGTGTGTGTGTTCGTGGATCGTGCTCATAATAGCAAATCAGTTCTTGTAAAATGTTATCATGGTCTAAAAGTCAGTATTTTACACAATATTAGCACATTTAACCTACTATGATCTGATAAAACCATAATCACCTCACGTTTAATGCGACTAAAATTGAATAAAATACATTAACTGGGCAACTTTAACCAGAGAACTGCTTTCTATGTGATTGCATACCTTTTTATTGCATGGAAAAAAGTGACGGCTACCTGAATTTCACATGCATGACTACAATTGGTCTCTCCTAATACCTCTCATCAGTTCCTAGATTCAACACCTAATTGAACTGGTTCAAAGCAGCATGTGTGCATCAGGAAGTTCCCATGCAATCCTGCATATGGCAGCATTTAAAGGCTTCTTTTCCAGGGAAACTAACTTAATTTGCTCCGGCAGTGTACATTGTGCAGCATCTGCTATAGGCAGTGGGAAAAAAGAGGACTCAGGGATGGGTGGGTCTCTTTCCACTGCAATAAAAAAATAAAATAAAGTTTTAGAAACTTAAAAAAAATTAATCTCAAATACTGTTAAAGAAGGATGATTGCAATCGACTATGATAGTCAAACTTTTAAAATGGTCAAATTCAGTTTAATTCGATCGATGTCAATCCACAATCTGACTTGTGATTCAGCCTGGAATGAAACTACTGTGTTTAAACCACATTCATTGGCCAGAGGAGAACTGGTCCTCCAACTAAACATGGCTTCTCCCAAGGTTTTTTCCCCCTCCATTTCGGTCACCGATGGACACTGAACTGATTTTAGTGGACTAATGATTGTTTATTGTCATTTTAGAGCTGCTTTACAGCCAAATTAAACTCTTTTAGTGTCATTGAATAATTATTTTCCTGTTCATTAGTGTAAAGCTGCTTTAAAACAATCTGTATTATATAAACCAAGGTGACTTGACTTTAAGGTGCAAACGTCGACATCTTAAAGGGATAGTTGCGGCACTTGCGCAGACAGAATCGCCCTTGCCCTCAGATCACTTGGACGTGGCTGTGGTAACAAGAGGTAAAAACGATATAAATCCTGTTCGTTTTCTCACACAAACTGCTCGTTTCGTGTCTTAGGCCATCAATGTGTACTTACATTTACGAGTCATTAAATCATGTTTAATTTGGACTTCTCTCTTTGAGGCCGACCCCATATACCTTCATTATATGACTGACAGACAAGAACGGTTTGACCTAAAAATATCAAAATTGAAAATACTGTGGAAACAAAGACACCTACATCTTGGATGCCCTTGAGGTAAGCTAAAACATATCAAAAATTAATTTCAAAGTGAACTATCCCCTTAAGGTCCAGATATACTCACGCCGAAGTTCTTTCTTGTTCTTCGTGTAGGAGTAAAACGAAGTTCGAAATATGTGAGCAGCGATTTACTGTTAACGAAGATCTAACTCCGCCCACACTGCTGAGAGCCGCACTTCGATGAATATGTGTGCCGAGTGCTTTCCTCTCAAAGACAAAATCACAACAAAATTTAGAAAACAGCAAGCAATTTAATAAAGCATTAGAAAAACATCTGATCATAGATACGTGGATATGTTTGCACAAGCTCTACGGCACTCGATTAAAGTCATGTCACCATTATATATACAATAAATAGCTTAAAACCAAGTAGCCTTACCATATAAAACATGAAAAATGTGCCGTTGTCTCGTTTCCTCAGAAGTACAACTTAATTTACTACTATATAGCAGCTCTCCAGTGTGCTCATGTTCATGTCTGACTAAATTAACCAGAAAATCCAAGCCAAGGCTCCACGGGTCCAGTATTTTTAGGCTATCAAAAGGTTACACATGTGCACTAGGCAGTCAACACCATAATAATTACAAACCTCAAGAGTGGCCACCTCACAAACCATGAATATCCTAACTGTGTGTTGGCAGATAATACCAGCATTTCTCAGCCCATCCAGTAAAATTGAGAAAGTGCAGCGGCTATAATGACTGAATAACATAAAAACCACTTTAATAATAAATAAATGAAAGTCAAACCACTAAAGACCTGAGAAATTAAATCATATGACCAACTAATACCAAGAGAATATAAGCAAATACTATGTCCTGTAATGACACACTGACACATATTAACTTAACGTGAGAGTCTGCAACAAAAACTAAGCGATTTTAACCACATAATAAACAACAGGGAGCAATATGAACCTACACGTACAATATAGTTAAAGGTGAAGTATGCAATTTTCACACCACTAACCACAGACACTGAACTGAATTACAAAAATAACTGTATGGGTACATTTTCTGGAGCAAATGTGAGTGGTGCTTGCCAGTGCAAACCATTATGCCAGGATGCTGGAGTTTCCCAAGCCCACCCCAATGCACCCTCTCTTCAATACTCTACACAATAATATTATTATTCATATCCATATCAGCATTAACAAAACTGGACTATTTGCTTTTTACCAAACTCTATTGTATATTCCCACAACACGTGACATACAAGACGTGTATCATAGGATGATTTAAAGCTTGATGCTGGTCGCTATATGAGATGAGAGCGATTTTGCTAAAATTTCCGAAAGACATTTTTCTACATTTCTCCTTTTTTTATGGTCCTAAAAAGAAAGAAAACAACACTGAGGTTAACAAATAATGACTTTTAGGGTTAACTATCCCTTTAATATCTTAAAGGAGTAATAAATATATGGGAATTAATGACAGAAGACATTATTGTTCTTCTTGTGAAATCTCCAGGAATGATGTATAAATGGTTCCAATTAGAATCCAATCAAAAAGTGTTCTACGGGGTGAAAAAAACACACACAAAAAAAAAAAAAAACAACAGGAAACGGTGAGAGAGAAGGGGAAAAGAGCAGCAAAGCAAGAAGAGGGGATGATATTTTCAGCTGAGGTGTGAAGAGAAAGAAACGGAGACATGAGTCAGTGAGCGATTAAAGAGAAAAGGTTGGACAGTAAATTTTCCACGCAGGCCGACAGGTTTGGGGCTGTTGCGAATTCTCACTGTGGGGCGTCTGGCAGTTCCCACAGACATCCAGCTATGTTTAAAGCATAGCGATCCCAGCAGGGGGCGATTGGTCCTTGGAATAACTAGAGATATTAAACTAGAAGCAGAAAAAAACGAAAGAAAAAAGATGACCGATTGGAAAGGAGTGCTTGACGAAAGTGCATTTTATGGAAAGATGCTCGTTCTGGCCTGTCCTGGAAGAACACGCTTCCTGCTGAGATTCTGGACCAGAAATCTCACATTCCCACAGGCCCTTTAGTGAAGCGTTTTATAATGAAGAATTTCTAGCATTGCTGTACTTTTCTTTTTCCAAAAATGTCCTCATTATGTCTTCCTTTGGTTTTACTGCTTGCACGGGAACATATGCTGGGCAGGTCGACAGGTCATGGCTGTCCACCGCTGGTGGGCTGTAAAAGAACTGAGGGCCACGAGCAGATAATGTATCTATCAGCATCTGGAGTCGGTGAGGATCGCAGGAACAGTAGGAACGTGAAGGTAAGCTGCACGTGAAGGTAAAATCAGTGGGACTGGGTGGAAGAGGATTAAAGATGGTTATATTTATCTATGTGAAAACATTGTTAGAGAAGGATAGTGGCAAAAAGATTATTTATTTATATTTCATTTGTAGTCACTGCATATGCATTAGTATTACATTTCCAGTTGATGACTGACTATACACATTCTTTACATTTGGTACCCAGAGGAGAAAAAAATAATAATGTAAATTTTGTAAAAAGGTAACCTATTAATTTACCTCTAAATTATTTCCATATATTCATATGACAAACGAAACCTGGAAGATTTATATATTTATATTAATTTATTTTTTTATTTTATTTATTTAATGTCAGCTGCCTTTCCAAATAAAACAAAAAATAATATTTTCAAAATGTATATTATTTTGTATGATTAGTATACAATTATAGTTTATTAATATTTTGAATTAATTTTTATATTTTCTGTTTTCATTGTAGTTTAAGTTTTAGTCATTTAGTCATTTTTTATTCGTTTTTTTAAAGTGTATATAGTTCTTATTTAATTTTAGTACTTCGACTTTAAACAAAAATGGGAACGTTGCCTTGGCAACTAGCTGAAATAAAATAAGTTTTCATAAAATTTTTATCTTAATTAATGAACATTTTTTTTACGGTTTTAGTTTTAGTTAGCGAGATTACCACACATAATGCATTATCTGTTGTAGTAAAATACTGTTAATCTTTTATTTTTGTTTATTTAAAATAAAATAAATTGAAATTTAGTTTTGAATCAGATTTCATAATATTAGTCGTACCCAGTGTTGGGTAAGTTACTCTAAAAAAAGTAATTAATTCCCAACTACACCTTCAACGGTGTAATTCGATTCCTCTAATTCGACTCTCTAAAAAAGTATTACACTACTTATTCTAAAACTCATATCAACCTCGACCAGTGGAACAATACAAGAATAGACATGAAACTGCTCTTTAAATTAATTCAAATAAATATCATAAAATTGCATAAATTATTATTGAACTGACCAAAGGGAGATACAGTTTTAAACAAGACATCAAATGTTTATGTTAAACCTACTATTGTATAAAATTGTTCTATGAAGTATTTAATTAAATTAAAGAAAAATTAAGACTAATCCCTTTACTTTTTCAAGGGAAAATTCATTCAGTTACAGTAATGAATTACTTAGTAGCTAATGCATAGTACTAAAAACTATATGTCTCCTATACAGCCTCCTAAAGTCGGGGCCTTTCCTACAGGTTCTCAAATCAAACTAAAACTGAACTGAAGTCTTCAGTTCGTCCCGTCTCCAGGGGTCTGACCTGCGGACACTGAAAGAGTGAGGTCTCCATAATTCAGGATGAAGTTGGCAGCGGTCTGGAGGGTGGGGCTACAGTACCTGTGGAGTGCCCTCGTCTCGGGTTGCAGTGCTGTCAGCATCTGGCTGTTCCACACATGTAGAGGGGGTGGGAGACAGGTGACACTGTCTCGGGCTTGAATTTCAGTGCAGTTCGCCTCAGCTGCCTAGTATTCAACACCACTAAACACCTTTCATCTTGGCTAATAGGTCCCACGGGAAAAGCCGCAAGGTGCCTGGGCCACATGCTAAAGACTGCATGTCTAAGGACCATTTTCAGACACTTCATGTGGAAAAAACTACGCAGGTCATTTTTACGTAAGGCTTTTAGGCGGTTTTACAATACGGTAACGAGCATACCGCAAAGATCACTGCGTATGGTGTTAATTTGAGTAGCCTTTATTGCGTGTGGTATATGACTTGAATCAGTCTGCAGGTTATGTCTGACTGTTAAACAACTTTAGCTTTATTGGGACAGGACTAGTTTTTCCAAAGAAATTCATGTTTCACAGACGTAATTTTGCGATTTTAAGCCCGTCCGAATCTGCCAAGTCAGTGTTTTTCTCACTCAACATCCAAGGCAAATTAGTAGCTGTTTTTCGGCAAACTCAACGGTCCTCCGGGAAATCTAATCCTGTCCGAATGCGAATGTCTGTGATTGCTGATCTCCTCGTGTTTTTTGACCTACCTGAGCTACCGTTTACGCACCAATCTTCGATATGCTATAATTTAGTTTAAATTTGGATGGTATCCAACAAAAACATATACATATACAATACATATACAATCAATAAAAAGAGCCAGATAGCATAAAGACTGCTCATTTTAAGACAGGACACATGCTTTTTTCACTGGTCAATTTTGAGATTTTGGGATATTTGTCTTTAATATCGCTCTCTAACAGCTCTCTCTCTCTCTCTCTCTCTCTCTCCTGTACAATGCTGTCGGATGCAAATATGGACAATTCCTTTTTATCAGCAACCAATCGTGAAAGTAAAAGGGTGAATTTAACTCTAAATGCACAATCTCATTGGCTGATGCCAATTTCTGACAACGTGATTCTCAAAATGACTTTTCTCTCATGCTCCAAGTCCAAAATCTCCACGTATATTCAGGATAACAAAAATAGACATCCATGAATCCTCTGTAATTTTTTCCCCATCTAATATGTGAACACAATGAGAAAATAATTTTGATCCTGGCTTTATCCAAGACTCAGAAAACTTGTAATACATTTTATGTAGGTAATCAACTGGGAAAGTTTCATGGTGATATCTGCTAGTTAAAAATTTTACCCAATTCACCTGTAGTGTCTCGCCTTAATATCAGTGTCAGGTTAGAGCGAGATTTCTCTGCTCACTTACTCCAGTTTATTATATATAGCCACTGCTATAAACTTGAGAAGAATACGTTTTTTATAATAAATAAATAAATATATTAACAAATAATAAATTAAAAGACTCATATGCCATACGTGATGTACGCAAGAACACATGACCTTCAGAAAACACACACTCCCACCTCTGTAATAAACACGGAGATGTTAGTCCAGTCCGAATCGGTACATGAAATCACAGACGTTGAGTGATAAGAATTGTAACTCAGATGTTTTTGTTTTGTTGTTGTTTTTAAACTAGTCCAGTTCGATTAGGGCTTTTGACTGATATTGATTTGGTTTCTGTGTATGTGTTAAAACTTACAGGTAAAGGGTTGAAGTTCTGGTCGACGAGGTGATTGTATCCGTAATCAAAGAAAGAATGTCGGAGTACAACATCAATCCCATGAGCTGCAGCGATGCCAAGAGTGTTGAGCCATCTAAAGCAAAAACAGAGTTTAAGCTAAATTGCGGTTTAAATATCATAACATTAGGAATGCACCTGGCAAAATACATGACATTTACGTATAAGGTACATTAAAGGTATTTTTGGGTGCGTAGATTCAGTTTACAAAACACGAGAAACAAAAGGAGGAATCAGCGCACCAAACAAATTCAGAGTCAATGTCCACTGAAAAGCAGTGTTTTACTGACACGAGTCAACATTAGTCAATGGCATATACATTTCAATGCACTAACTGGAGACACAATTGGCATGCCACTGTAAAAAAATATTGATGGTTTAACTTAAAAAAGTAAGTAACCTGGTTGCCTCAAAATTTTAAGTTCATTGAACTGGAAAAAGTGAGTTAATACAATGAAGGAGAATGATTTAATCATCAGAAACTCAAAATGATATGTTATCTGAACTAAATAAATTATTTAAGTTGATTTGACAAAAGAAAAAATGTTGTGATTACTACACTGTAAAACAATATTGTTGGTTTAACTTAAAGTAAGTAACCTGGGATGCCTTAAAATTTTAAGTTGATTGAACTGGAAAAAGTGAAAAATACAATGAAGGAAATTATTTAACCATCAGAAACTCAAAATAATAAGTTATCTCAACTAAATAAATTATTATAAAGTTAATTTGACAAAAGAAAATATGTTGTGATAACAAATCTTGAAAATATATTTTTTTTTTTACACTGCAGAATATTAGTTATTTAACCCTTAAACGCATTCCTCGAGTCTTTATCGACCCGGGACGTTTTTCACTACCCTCCCCCTCATTCATTTTCCAAAGTTAGACATCAACCTTCTTAGTATTCCACAATCTATTAATTCTAAGTAATATAACAAGAAAAATAGATATAAAAGTAAATCGATTTTATATAAAAATAAAACATTCTTTGCGTGTAGGGTCGCTCACGACCCGATGTATGTAAGTATACAATAAAATATTAGTGTCCCAATCGCTTATTGGGGGATCTGGTGAAGTAGCTGTCAGTCATTTTTCTTATATTGATATTAAGGAATATATTTGAGATTGTGAATATGAGTCAGATGCTGAATGTAGAGGGAAATGAGCTCTGTAAATGACAGAGATGATGGTATAAAACATCTGCTCAAACTGAACCCTTCCGAGCTCCAAAAGGTAACAAAATATGCTTTTATTTCATTGTTTTGTAGTTGATATTAAAGGTTTTGGTTGTGAGGGTGAAAAGGCGCATTTGGAGCGTGTGCACTATTTATTTTTCAAGCACTCCATTGTAAGCGCATCGTCCGCACGGACACAAAAATTGGGCTGTGCGCGGATGTCCACTGACTGATGAAGAAAATTATGTCACATGGACAGTGTGTGGACCAGTGCGGAGCGCAGACAGCCAAAATATACTTAGAGCCCCTATAGCCAATGTGCTTTACTTACAGAAAACCAGCAGCAAATGTGTCGGACAAATTATTGGTGCCCCCTGCCCAAGCCGGACCAACTCCACCCAGCCACACACTCTTCTCAGGAGCATGAGTTTTAACAATCTGAAAGAAACACACAAATCTTTATCAGATGAGATGAATTATCAATAGTTGATGAGTGATGGACGGTTGTTCAGGTTTGATTCTTTCAGTCAACTAATCACTATATAGTCCGCTTAAATAAGATGAGACCATCTCACTGATATTTACAATGACCAACCAGATTTATTTATATATACACAATATTTATATATGAATGTTACACATCTGTTACATCTGAGATATTAAATTTCTTATTAAATTTAGATTTCGATTTCAAATAAACGCAGAATTAATCAAAGAATCCTAAAGTAGCACTGCTTCCACAAAAAAAAATTAAGCAGCAACTCACAATTATGTTCAGTTTGTCTTATGGTCTTTTTACACGACACCGACATCGTTTTCAACTAAAATGAAATCGTTCAACTTTTTATGCGTTTTGGCTATTCGTTTCCACGACAACAGAGTTTTGGGTGCCTGAAAACGCAAACTTTTGAAAACGGGTTTCAAAATGGTCTCCAGGTAAACAACAAAAACGCGAATCTCTGATGACGATGACATCATGCACATGTGTCATGCATATTACGTGTTCAGTCGCAATCTAATGGCCTGGCAGCAGAATATAGTTTTTTTGTCTTTTTTTCGTGGATCCTTGTGAATGGTTTTGACAATGGTGTCGTCTGTGCGTGGAAAACTCAAAGAAAAAACTTCCCAGTTTTAAGCATATCGTTGTTGTGTAAAGGCACCTTAAGTTGTAGCCTCACGTTCATTCTTGGTCCGGTCACATTCACATTTACTGTGAGTTGCTAACTTCTGTTTAAGGAGTAGTTCACTTTATAAAAAAAAAAAAAAAAAAAACTTTTGCTGATAATTTACTCACCCCCATGTCATCCAAGATGTCCTCTTTCTTTCTTCAGTCGAAAAGAAATTAAAGTTTTTGATGAAAAAACATTCCAACATTTTTCTCCATATAATGGACTTCAATGGGAACCAAACAGTTCAAGGTCCAAAAGACTCTTTCAGTGCAAACTGCAAACTGTTCAAAGGGCTTTAAATGATTCCAGACGATGAGATAAGCGAAACGATCGCTCATTTAAAAAATAAATAACAAAGTTTATGGTAACACTTTATTTTGATAGTCCACTTTAGACATTCTACTAACTATAAGTAACTTTTCAACTACATGTCAACTAACTGTCATCAGAGTATTAGTAGACTGTCAGCTTAATATCTGCTAACACTTTTTTTTGTTGGTCCCCCAACAGACATTCAGCTGACTATAAGTAACTTGGCGACTACAAGTAAACTTATTCTCCTAACCCAAAGTCTAACACCTAACCATAACCTAACAGTCTACTGACAGTCTACTATAATATACTAATACTCTAATAACAGTTAGTTGACATGTAGTTGAAAAATTACTCATAATTAGTAGAACGTCTAAAGTGACTATCAAAATAAACTGCAACCAAGTTTATTTATTCAGTACAGAGCAAGGCGAGCATTTGAGCTTATAAAACTTAAACTTTGTTATTTTTTTATTAAATGAGCGATCGTTTCGCTTGATAAGACCCTTATTCATTGTCTGGAATCGTTTAAAGCCCTTTGAACAGTTTGCAGTTTGCACTGAAAGTGTCTTTTGGACCTTGAACCGTTTGGTTCCCACTGAAGTCCATTATATGGAGAAAAATGTTGGAATATTTTCATCAAAAACCTTAATTTCTTGTCGACTGAAGAAAGAAAGACATGGACATCTTGGATGACATGGGGGTGAGTAAATTATCAGCAAAGGTTTTTTTTAAAAGTGAACTACTTGTGGATATTTTATATTAAACCCATGTTCGAACCTCCTCCTCCTTCATCTGTTTACCTGCTGCAAGCACCCGTGATATTTTCAACAACAATATTCATAAGATATGTTTATTGTCAGTGTTGTAGTCGAGACCACCTCACTCGAGTCCGAGTCGAGACCGAGACCATAGAGAGTCGAGTCCGAGTCGAGTCCGAGACCAGAGACGGTCGAGTCCGAGTCGAGACCGAGACTAGTGAGGGTTGATTACCTAATTTACTTTTATTTACTTAGAGAAATCCTTTTTTTTTTTACTGAATTTACTTAGAGTTTAAAAAATATGATCAGTTTAGGGTAAAAAGGCCACATAGTAGGTGGTGTTAAAAGTAATTTTATTACAATCAATCTGTTTGTCAATTGTCAATCAATTTAAAGAAATATTTTATTAACATACATTAATAATCATGAAAAATATTTAGAATTGAACTCGAGTGGACTCGGGAATAAGTCCGAGTCCTAAAAAAAAAAAAAAAATGTTCGAGTACGAGTCAATTCCGAGTCCAAATGCACACGAGTCCATGACAAGACCAAGACCATTAAAATATGGTCTCGAGACCGAGTCCGAGACGAGTCCGAGTCTCGAGTACTACAACACTGTTTATTGTACACCAAATCAGCATATTAGAATGATTTCTGAAGACTCGTAGCCTGACGTCGACGTACTCAAATTCTAGTCAGAATGTGAGTCTGATACTACTCCATTGGGTTGTGATTATGATGCGTGTTCCAACCGAATCAGGAAAGAAAATGCCTCAGCACTCAAATGGATTGACAAATACCTTGACAGCAGTTCTCTGTTCCTCTTTTAAAATGAATGCTCAGTCTACATCTTCTATAACAGACGCGATGGCGGAATCTACACTACATCTAAATTCTCCAGCGGCAGCCATTCTTTGTTGTAAACTAAATCAACCCAAGCGCTCTTTGGTGACATGGATGATTACGTTACTGTTGATCGTCTGTCCATCATCGTATAAAGCCCGCTCTGACAATTTGATTGGCCCGAACAGCTCTGGTTCTGGCATACTTGCTCCACAACGAATCAAGTCCAGACTGAACTTCCCATCCTCAAAGTTGTGGGCGGGGCAAAGTTTGGCTGGCATCCAGGCTAGAAGACTCGAGTAATGGCTGCAGAAAATTAGTTTTAAAATAGTACTAATATTTCACAATATTACCGTTTTCACAGTAATAAGAGAGTGACCGTGCATAAAGAGACATTTATCAAAAACGAATTATTTCATTTACACAATTAATTTAATACAATTGTACTACTGAAATATAATAAGAAATGTTGTGAAAGTGTTTTCCCCCCGTGCAGCTGACTGATAAAAACCAGCATCTTGACTCCAGTTTGTGTGCTCAATTTAAATCAGACTGTCCATAAACAGTCCACGGCCATGATTTGAGATCAGATCCCAACTCCGCAGCATAATACACAACCGACTGCCGTCCAGCTGCAGGGTCAGAGTCTGGTTATAATAGAACACATGTTGGGTATTAGGCATATTCCATAATAAGCCAAAGAAAAGCTCTCCTCATTCTCTCCACTTGTGATTCAGACACACTGTGAACCTCGGGACCTGCTGTAGCGAGTGACAGCCAGAGAATCAACTCTAAACCATAAATCATATTTCAAAATAAATCCGTTAACTGTTACAAACAGCAGGAGGGTACATATGCCGCCAAACACCTGCAGACACTGCGTGAAAAGAGCTGTAATCGGGCATGTAAAACTCCTGAGTACTCCTGTGTACTCCACAAATAAACGTGTGTATAAGGGAGTTTGCTGTCCCGTCACACAATCCCGAAAACTCCTGGATATGTACCAAGTTTGGAGCACAGCAGGGAGCCACTAGGGCCATCAGTTACCATGGTGAATAATCCCCAGGTCGGGGTCAATGCAAGGGAACATTAGCATTTCACACCTTTGGGACACAAGGCAGTGGCCTCCTTCAATTGGTCAGAGATCTTACATAGGATTGGGTGCTCAATGCTTTGTCCCTCCTCTAAACCCCCACACTATTGGTCCAGTTTATGGCCTCATTTGGGTTTATTATTACTCATTATTAATATTCATTGTCATTGGTGTTCATGGTTATAATGTCAAGACAATCAGATAGACAAAGTTGAGTTTGTTATTTTTATTATTTGTAAATGACACTGGGCACATGACATATATATTTATATACACACAGTCAAAACTCTATAAATAATAATAAAAAACATTAGCACAGAATACATTTTACTATTAGTCATACAACAAATAACCCCATATAATATATAAGGCCTGTGTATAATATATGTAAAACAATATAATAACCCGAACAACCCACACCGACTTTCCATCCAAGATGGCATCCTACTGTTCAGACATGTGGTCAACTGTTGCAGTCTTCCAGATAGATGCATCTTCCTCTGTCTGGAGAACCCCAGTCCTGCAGCTCAGTAGCTGCAAAATGGGAGGGAAAAAAGTAATTAAACCACTGAAAATATCAAATAGGTTGGGATGGGAGCCTCTCCCAGGCTGAGGCTTTTACTGAGATTTATATGTATTTATACTTACTCTTCTTTTTCTTTGTCTCATGAGCATAATGATCCTGCTGTCCTCCATCTTGTCTTTGTTCTCATCTTGGGCCATCCTGTAACCCCTTCTAACAGTTTCAAAATAGCAGGATACTAGAGAGATGGAGATAGAGAGGGGGGAGAATATGTTTATTTATAACTAACTAATCTATACAGTTAAAAAGTTGTAGCCTTGGTACATTCTCTTTTGACTTACCTTTAACAACAGCAGGATCTACGTCTGGGACAGCCATTAAAAAGATAGGTTATGACCTCAAGGTTGTGGGGGAGGATAGACTGTGAAGCAGTAATTAAAGAAGGTTGATTAAAAATACAATTTAGAAGAAAAGACTGTTATGAAAGAATAGTTTTAAAGATATACCTTGTCTGTGGGTCATATTTGTGTATGTTGTTTTTCCCATTGTGCAATCTCCATACAGCTTCCTGTAAAAATCCAACATAGTATGAGGGCTCAATTCGAATACATTTATAAATAAAGCACACAAAGTTAAGCAGACACCGTGATGGTCAGAAAATAACTTACCGCAACAGAATTATTCCCAGCTCTCTTTAATTTCTTTGAAGCAGGCTCCTCTTTTGCCTCTTTGAGCTCATTGATGTCAGCCTTCATCTTATCCAACCTCATGTCCATCATCTCCAGCTTTTCAAATATCCTCTTCAAACTTTCATTTGCCATATACACCAGTCTATACACCAGTCTGTTTTCGTTCGAACTCAGAGATTTAATAGCCACATTGTCCCTATGTAAAGGACTAACATCTCCACTCTGCTCTCCGTAACACTTGTTGAAGACTGACACAATGTAAACCCTATCACCTTTCCTGAATACTAATGAGGGGGGCAGGGGAATAGGGGCAACCTTGAGCCAGTCCCAAAACAAATTAGCATTTAAAAAGCCAAGCCATCAACTAACAGCATGTGGTCAGACAAGTTCCTGTTTTCGGGCCTTTACAGGCATTTACAGGTACGCATAACAAAGTTCCAAAGATCCCTGCCAAACAGCACATTTAGCGGACATTTTCATTGTCCGAATTCTCCCGTATACACACCTTTTGACGCAGTGAGATCCACTAAAGAAAACAGAAAGATGTGAATTCCATCTTTTATTACTTACTTTACGTTAACAGACCGCTGGACCTGTTAAGTTTAAAAGTGGAATAAGCACTTGTTCATCTGACATCACACATGTAATGGGCACTAATCACGATCCCACTGGGGGTTTGGTAGTGAACAAAACTTTGGCGTCTTTTGTTTGATAACTGTGAGGAAGGTCAGTTTTCCCCTCATTCACTTTCAGGGGAACACTGGACCAGATGTGTGGGTTCGAGATGCATAAAACAGGAGAGCTATGTATTTATAGATTGGGCCTCCTGAGGGAAGTCTTAAATGTTGTGAAACCTGGTACTGCTTATTAGAGCAAAAGGGGACCGTTCCCGGAGCAGCTGGGACATCATGAGTCTGAGGGGGAACTTGTAAATTGTAAACTCAATCAAAAGCTTTCCTTCCTTACTGTGCCCTGACCCACGCTCCCTTAACACTAGGCCACCTATCAGACCGACGACAGCTTGTTTGGATGGTGCAGCTGAGGATAAACCCGGGACCCTTGAGATAAACACAGTTAATGAGCACTGGAGGGACTTTCAACAACAACAACCTCAACGCATACAGGATATTAGTACATCTCTGACCTGCTTCACATTCAAAAACAAAAGATATCTCGGCTGGCTGTCTTAAATCAAACTACTGTAAATTTTACCTTTAACACCTTGGTAATCTGCTCAGACAGGGTGTCCAGAAGTCTCGTCTTCATAAAGTCTTCCACTTTGGTCACCCGCCTGTCAATGTAGTAACTGCAAAAAAAAAAAAAAAAAAAAAAAAAAAGATATAAATATCCCATTGCTCAAAAGGTTGGGAAAGTATGTTTTAATATTGTTTGAAAGAAGTCTCATATGCTCAAAAAGGCTGCATTAATAAAAAACAAAAACTACACTTTCTTTGTTTATACATGCATATACAGAGTCATGTGAAAAAGAAAGTACACCCTTTTGAATTCTATGGTTTCTTTTACATATCAGGACAACAGCTGAACAACCACACTTGACATATTACACAGTGTCATTATAGTGCTGTCAAACGATTAAAATATTTAATCGCGATTAATCGCATTAATGTCATAGTTAAAGGGTTAATTCACCCAAAAATGAAAATTCTGTCAGTATTTACTCACCCTCATGTTGTTCCAACCCCGTAAGACCTTCGTTCATCTTCGGAACACGAATTAAGATATTTTTGATGAAATCTGAGAGCTGGATCACTCCTGCATATTAGTCCATAGGCTACTTGAGGAATTGAAACTTGCCGGCCTCGAAAAGTTATTAAAGACATCGTTAAAATGACTTCAGTGGCTCAATCTTAACTTTATCAAATGACGAGAACACTTTTTGTGCGCAAAAAAACAAAACAAAATAACAACTTTATTTCAACTATTCATTTACTTCTCTCTCTCTGCCTCGAGTCAGGTTACTAGTTTAACAGCGTAAGCTTCTGTTATTGTACGTCACACGCATCACACACATGACCAGCGTCGGCCAATAGTGAGCCTATGTGTGATGTAGCTCTACGCAATTACACTACTTTAACTGACTAGAGGCTCAAAGAGAAGGAAGTGAATAGTTGAAATAAAGTCGTTATTTATGTTTGTTAGTGCGCACAAAAAAGTGTTCCCGTCGCTTGATAAAGTTAAGATCGAGCCACTGAAGTCACTTGGACTATTTTAACGATGTCTTTAATAACTTTTCGAGGCCGGCAAGTTTCAATTCCTCAAGTAGCCTATGGACTAGTATGCAGGAGTGATCCAGCTCTCAGATTTCATCAAAAAATATCTTAATTTGTGTTCCGAAGATGAACGAAGGTCTTACGGGGTTGGAACAACATGAGGGTGAGTAAATACTGACAGAATTTTCATTTTTGGGTGAACTAACCCTTTAACTCGTGATTGATCGCAATTAATCTCATATTTTTATCTATTCTAAATGTCTTATGATTTCTTTTTGTCCCATTATTTTTTATCAACATGGAAAAGTGGATCGGCTTGCTTTGTGCAAATGTTTTTTTTTTATTGACAACAACATTGGCATACTGTGTTCAAATTCACACTAGAATTCTCACTTGGAGCAAATAATCTCTCACACAAACACTGTCCATCAATAAAAGAGTGAAAGAAATACTGACGAGGTCCTGATATTGACGAGGGGGCGGAGAATTCTCATCAGCTGTGTGTGTGTGTGTGTGTGTGTGCTTGGCCATCATCAAGCGGTATTTCAGACTGGATGTGCTGCACTTTTTAAAAGTAAACTTTCCATTCAGAATCTTATGGGCATCCATTTCGGCATCTCGCGCTCGTCATCCACTCAAAACGTAATGTTAATCAACCATATGGCCCAAATGAGTGTGTGCGGCATGCCTGTTTTGTTTACAGTCTAGCTAGATCCGCTTGTGCTTTGGTCAACGAAGCAACCAAACATCCTCACGCAGCCAATGACATAATTGGGTTTCATAGTGCAGCGCGCGCATGCTGCGTCCTGTTGCCAAAGCATGTGAAAGAAAACTACAAAGTTTGAAAAAAGCCAAAAAGACTGTTAATAGTGCGATAAAAAAAAAAATTGACGCCGTTAAAATGGGTTTGCGTTAACGCTGTTAATAACACATAGAACTGACAGCCCTACATTTTTTATTTCACAAAAATAAATCCAAAATGGAGAAGCCAGGTGCGACGAACTAAGTACACCCTATGATTCAATTGCTTGTAGAACCACCTTTAGCAGAATAACTTGAAGTAATCGTTTTCTATATGACTTTACCAGTATCTCGCATTCTGGCCCACTTTTCTTTACAACGTTGCTTCAGTGCATTGCACCTCCTGATGTGGTTTGAGCGATCGGATTCAGTCTTGCTATGCGATCACAGAAAACGCATGAAGTGACCAGGTGTTATCTTTATCTTTAAATGATAACCCCATCTCTCTCTTCCGTGGGGGGTCTCAACACAAGACTGCCTTGGCACACATAATACAAATGGCTGAGGGCGGAAATATACTAATAAATGACAGGCCGTCAGTGGTTGTGGGCGGAGCATGAGCAATATGACATCATATTGCACAGAAAATCCAAAAGGATTGATTATTGAGAGTGTTTAGAATTTTTTGAGGATACAAATTTTTTAATTGTAGGGTGGTTGTGTCCACACACTGCAAAGACACATTTATATGCAAACACCATGTAAAAGTGAATTTTGCATCCAATGACCCCACAAACTGATTTACTACATTTCTAACTAACAAATATTTAAATGTAAAATTAATAACAAAATATTTTCCCTTGAAAATAAAAAGCTTGAGAATTGAATAACATCAAATAAAAACAAAGAAACAAACACCAAAATGGCAAAGCGATCAATCAGCTGTTGATGATTCCAGTACAATATGAAATAACACAATCCACATTTTCCCACTCCAGTGAGCAGTTCAAATATGAATTAAAAGCATTAAAATAGCTAACAGATTTAGCCCATGAATTATATTAAGATGTAAAAGACAGCGACAACAAGACTCAGAGCTCTTTCTGGTCAAAGAGCCGAATGAGTGAGTGAGAAAGAGAGAGAGAGGAGTTCGGGATGAAGTAGCTGTGGGCCGGCCATCTGGAGAAAGGTGTGGAAAGAGGGCCTCAATGAACTGCACCATTGTCAAGCAATACGTCCTACTATCTTGACGTATCTGAAGGAATAGTGGTTCTCTGTGGACACGGACCTTCAAAATATATAGTCTCTCTGGGATTAAAGCTGTACAACTCTAGAGGCCACAAATCTTCATTATCTTTGGATCTCGAACAGCAACGAGAAACTCTCAACCTCCCTAGTATCATATTTAGCTAATGTGTCTCCATTTGATGTTTTAGATTCCACTTGTAAGGTATTAGCCGTTTCTAAACAAACAGACTTCTGAATTTAGCATTCAAAGTAGGGGAGACGTCTGGAAGATGAGTTAAAGAAAAAATGCATCTGTCTAATGGAAAACAGGAACTACTAATGTAACAGATAAAGAATATATTAGTGGAAGGTTTTATTGCTCAGAGGCTTTTCTTTCATAGGTCAGGAGGACGCTTAATTGAATTCTTATGGGTCTTTTTTCATATCAACTTTGCTTCGGATGTTTCTCCTAAAAAGAAGAAATGAAACCATAATAAATTAAATGAATAGAATCAATTAAAAAAGCCAGGACAGATTGGAATATATAGTGTAAATAAAAAGCAAAATATTAAAAATAGATAATTCCACCCCTACAAGAGCTGTTCATATAACTTGATTAATTATTCCAGGAATTAGGGGTGGGCGATATGACCAAAATCTTATTTCACAATATTAGTAAATTAATGGAGTAGTTCACTTTAAAAAAACAAAAAACAAACTTTTGCTGCTAATTTACTCACCCCATGTCATCCAAGATGTCCATGTCTTTCTTTCTTCAGTCGAAAAGAAATTAAGGTTCTTGATGAAAACATTCCAGGATTTTTCTCCATATAATGCACTTCAGTTTCAGTGCAAACTGCAAACTGTTCAAAGGGCTTTAAACGATTCCAGACAATGAATAAGGGTCTTATCAAGCGAAACGATCGCTCATTTAATAAAAAAATAACAAAGTTTAAGTTTTATAAGCTCAAATGCTCGCCTTGCTCTGTTCTGTGACGCATGTTTGTGACTCTCCTGTTCGAACTCGTTCATCAAAATGAACAAATCTTTTTCCGAGTCAATTCGTTCCAACCAAATGACTCAAAAAAAGATTTGTTCATTTTGATGAGCGAGTTTGAACAGGAGAGTCATGAACACACATCACAGAACAGAGCATTTGAGCTTATACAACTTAAACTTTGTTATTTATTTTTAATATGAGCGATCGTTTCGCTTGATAAGACCCTTATTCATCGTCTGGAATCGTTTAAAGTTTGCACTGAAAGTGTCTTTTGGACCTCTAACCGTTTGGTTCCCACTGAAGTGAATTATATGGAGAAAAATCCTGGAATGTTTTCATCAAAAACCTTAATTTCTTTCAACTGAAGAAAGAAAGATATGCACATCTTGGATGACATGGGGTGAGTAAATTATCAGCAAAAGTTTTTTTTTTTTTTTTTTAAAGTGAACTACTTTAATTTCGCGATAACAACATATATATATATATATATATTACAATATTTTTTAGCTTTAAATAGATTTTTATGATATCAAAATTGTTGATACTATTGAAACTTCATAATTCTTGTCAACAATTTCAATATCACAAAAAACTAATACTATAGCCTAAGTAAAAAAAGCTTACTGAAGACAAGTATATAGTAAAAATACAAAAAAAACAAAGACACAAATGAAAAATAAACCAACCTGAAACACAAAGCACAAAAAATTTGAAAAAACTACATAAATGGCAATCAAATGCATTAAAAAAAACACTGCATAGTCTTCACAGAGTTACAAAAACTAGAAAAGTGATTCAGTCAAGAGCAGTGAGACATTAGGGCTGTGTCCGAAATCGCACTCTATTCATACTTTGCAGTCACGTGACTAACATGGATGCCTGGCGGGCAACAAACGGGTATTTTTAACGTAGTAGTTCCAGGTCTTTCTAGTAGCTATCAAGTCTGTTAGCAAGCTAGCTGCATAACTATGGACTAGGATTAACTCCAAGGTGAAGGTAGTTAAATTGTGAAGGTAGCTAAAAGTTTTTTTTTTTTTGATAATCGAGCTGTAATAATTCCTCCGTAAATAATCTAGCTCTATGTTCTCATTGGAAACCATAGATATC